ATATTTTATAAATCTCAATGTTAATTTTTTTTTTAAAAAAAAAGTATTTCTGTTTTTAAATTATGATAAACTAGACCAAGCATAAAATAATCTTGTCTAACCTTGAGTAGTTTAAGATACATTTACGATTTTTGAATGTACATTTTGTCTCACCCTTCATCCTTATAAGTGAGCATTGAATATAATCCATTATTAATAGGAACTCCAAGAGAGAAACGGTGAATACATTAAATTAGAAAACTATGTTAACATGTTATAAAACAGTAGAGTCGCATAACTCCCGGTGTAGTGCAGCACGTAGATTTCGTAGATATTAGATAAGTAATAACCCAATCATATCGAGAGTAAAATATTTTTCAAATAAAAAAATCTACAAATTCTAACGTAGACTTACTGGCTAGCTTTATATATTTATTTGCTATAGCATTGATTATAGAATGTACACTGTTAAATAATTAATATTGATGTTGCGTGGCACGCGGCTTGTCGCGGTGGCGCCGAACGCTCGTTAAAATTAATATCAAAATGCTTCGTTTTGATTTCTGATGCCATTGAATGATTTCATCGACCAGTGTATATTATTATCGGGAAATATTAAACTAAAACTGTGGTGAGGTCTTAGGTCATTTTCGTACAGTTCGCCTCGTCCTCTTGCCTTGTTTCAGATTATTCAAAATGTGTACCATACGATAACAAAATTATTCACGGTACACCAAACAGTGACTATACGGGTGTTATATGTAATTATTCAAACGCACAATCAAATTAGACATCTGGAAATTAGACATAAAACAAGTCACTATACGGTGTTTTTCATGATATGCGTTTTTAATCGAGCCAGCGTTCGGCTAGTATCTTCAAATGTGATTGCAATTGCAAAACGCCATAAAATCCAATTAAAAACTGTTCCGAGGCTAATACATCAAGCGCTTGGTTTTAAACTTAGTGTGTTTACATGTCATGTCGAGTGCTAATAAAATTGTTTATAAATAAAGAAAAAAAACAATCATGTTCTTCTATTGGTTCCCAGACTACACCACGTTACAATGAAATCATGTGTACTATGAGTATTTACTTGCTGTTGACCTTCAGAAGAAAATAATAATCTTAGGAAGAAAAAAAAAACAACGCGAATTTTTTCCTATTTTAATTTATTTAATTATTATCAACTAATCGAAATACCGAACTAAACAATTCAGCACCATTTTCAAGTGTTATAATTAGGGCAATGGCGAAATGTGATACCTATACAACCTAGAAATTCAAAACAATGCATCTCTGTAATGAAATGTTTTTATTTTAAACGATAGTGATGAACGAAAAATATTTTAAACAAATTGACCCTGAAAAAATGTTGTACGGTGGTCGGTGAATCGTTTTCCATACGATCAATGATTTAAGAAAACATTTTAATACTTCAATAGTAATCTATATCTGACGTCCTAGCGGGAATAAGTAGTTTAAATGATAAGTGATTAGAGTGGGAAACCAGGCGCGTGCACAAGAGGGAGTTTAGGGATTCAACTTTCCCTTCCCTGAAATTTAGGAAAATTATTTATAGGTATTAAAATGTACAGCCTAAACCCACTATCAACCCAACTATCAAAACATTTTTTTTTTTTTTTTGTACGCGCCTGTGAGAAACATCAGTACATTATATTTGAAAAATAAAACTAAATCAAACGAATTAATGTGAATAAAATAATAAATAAATAAAAAAAAAATGCATACACTCGCTCGTAGTTTGTTGTGAGCGATCATCAACCATTCGACGGTTTGATTTTTATTTATATATTTTTTTGGCGATTATTTAGATGGTAACGAAAACGCTGCAGTCTGGTTTGAATGGGAGGGTCGAAAAGGTCTCGAAACCATTATTTGCGTTCAAGACGTCAGGGAGGGTTTTCGGAAATGGAAGTGACTGCGAGATGACCAATGATGGTACCGTAATCCGTCAACAGGAGAGGAAAAAAACGTCAACGCCAAACGCTTGTACCCACAGCAGTAACGTACGCCGTCAAACATTTCACTTCAGACATTTTTGAACGTGAAAAGGAAATGAACGGAAACTATTCGAATTCGTTGGACACGCGTGCGACCGCTTTTACGCACACCGGTAAAATCGGAACCGACTCCGATGCCGGATGCAATGTAATTGAGTTAGTGCTATCACACGTAGACCAAACCGATAAATTCATCGGTCCGATAGACGGCTCCGGTATATGCGGTCGGCGTTGAATTCGATAATTCGAGTGCCGGACCGATCCCCGGACTTGTCAATTTCCATGTGTTGCGGTATGTGCCGGGGTGGATTATCACGAATCTCACAACGCCAGTTAAAATAACTGAAATTTGTGTAAAAATACACAAATAAAGTCTTTAATAAATAAGTTTAAAACAATTTTAATACTCTTTATGATGGAATTAATTTTCTTCGTCTTCTTTTCCTACAATTAAAAAAAATTAGTATTATAAACATGTAAAAATAATTGCATGTTTACATGCAAAGTTGGACTGTAAACCTAATTAGACATTTTCTGTTTTTAATAAATTTAAATGCGATTGTTGATCAGCATATTTTAATAAATTGAAAACAAACGTTCCACGTCTACTAACGTTATTGGCGCATAGTTACTTAAAACGTACTAAGTCATTTCATTTCAATATTTCATGTAAAACTTCCAAACTTTTTTGGTATCCAGATTTGTAACTCTTATTTTTCTCCAACATAGTTTCAATTTAAGTTATTACCGTTTTTCAATGCACTTTACTCAATAGGTACTTAGTAGTTTATTGCTAATAAATAATCAATCATTAAATTTCATAATCACTTTATCTTTTTTCATTATATATAGTAATTTACTATTATTATTATAGCATTATATTATATATAGTATTAATTTACAAATAAACAGAGCTATACGCATAAACAATTAAGTATTTTTTTAGTTGCCACATTCATTGACGCCATGAATTTCTATGATATTAGGTAAGTGTGATAGTAAAAAAAAAAGATAAGAATAAATTTACATAAAACATAAAAATGGGTAAATAGGCTCTAAATAACTATTAATTTGCAAAAATCCCTAGAATGTATTTTGCATAAAAAACATCAAAATATGCAAATATATATAATTGAAATTTTTGTATTTTAGTCCGTTAGGTATATTTTAAAACAAATTTATATTTTACTTAGATTATTCTACAGTCATTATTAAAGAATATCCAAATGTAACAAGTCCTGAACCTTACTGATAAGTTGTTTACATATCTTATTTAAAAACATTTACACGTTGAATATGGTTTTTATATCTTGCATAAAATGATAATACTTGTAATTTTGACAACAGCTAGAAGATATCTACTAGTGTTTGTCTTAGTTTTGAATTTTGTTGGTAAGTACTTTATAACGTATTAATCATTAAATAATACTCTAGAACAGGCTGTTGTTATAGAATTTCGCAACGAAAATTTGATCACGGAAGACAAGACTTTGACATGTTTCAAACTTCTCCAATCCACATATTTCGATAGTTGCCATTTGTATATTTCAACAATCTTATTTTGTATTAAAAAAAATAATTTAAATATAAATATTAAAATATCTGTTAGCTTTTAATGTATTGATGAGAATTTCTGTATTACAGTATTATTTTAACAGTGTGACCTTAAAAATCTGAACGGTTGGGAAGTGAATAAATAGTAAAACTGTAATGGTACACAATTTTCAGTATGCTACATTGTTTGCTACCTAATAGCCAATGCCTAAGAGTACTTGAAACTAACTTTATTTATATAAGAATAATGAAATATAAAACAAATCTACTATTAATACTTCTGATCATGAAAAGGTGCAAAATAACAATATTAATATAATAAAATATTAATATTTAGCGTCTAATAATTTATTTAATAAAAATGTATTATTAATTTGAAACCAGTTATCAAAATTAATTCAAATAAAATTAAACAATTACATTTTTGTGTAAAATATAATTGACAACTAATTTATGTGGAAAATTGTATGATAAGAACTAAGTAATTAAACTAGCATTGGAATTAAAAATGTTTAACACTTTCACTATTATAGCTTAAGACTAAGGACCTACCTAATCAATTGTACATTATGTATTGTAAATGTATAACAAATTGATTTTAAACTGCATTTACTCAATACCTATATTCTATACTCACCTTTCAACAGATATAATTCAATAGTGATAGTTAACATAAACAGAAACAATAAAAGGTCATTGAATTTATATAACCAGTTGAAATATTGCATCCATCAATGTGTACTTAAAAGTAATACATTATTGCTCATTATTATGTAACTACTAGCAAAAGCAAATAATATAACTCAGCTTAATATCTGATGGTTATAAGAGTCATTAAAAATAATTGGAATTGAAGAATTCATTACTATTAGAATGATTCTAAGTGAATTTTAAATAAATAAATACCTAACAATTACATTAAGTAAGAGGTTATTAAATAAATATTTAAAATCAGACATGTATAATAGAATATTGAATACAATAATTTTAAGAAAATGTAATGAACAATAAATGTAATAAGAATACTACAGTAAAATATTTCAAATATATCAACTTTTTTTTTGTTAAAAAATATGAAACAAGTGTACTAGTTACTACATTCAATGACCTACGTTGCTAGGATACTAAAAACAGTAGTAACTTTTATATATTTTTGAATCAGATATTAATTTTATTCTAAAATTAAAAATTAAATAAATACAACCTAAATATTTATTAAAACTAGACTAATTTACATTTTAAACATTCAACTAAATCTTTATAATTGTTGCAAAATAAATAAAACATAAAACAACTATGTTCTATTGACTATAAAACAAATTAACTAAAATGAACTGTCTTTACTTAAAAGTATTAACAAATTTAAAAACAATCTACTATCAAGCCAAATATCTCTTGGAAAATATTCTTCTTATAACAGTACCAGTACCATAATCAATAATATTAATAATAGGAATCATATATATTTCAGTATCATAATATTAAGTGTGCACGCATCATTAGCATTTTGTGACAAAAAAATATGTTTCAAACTCTTTATTAGGACAATGTATTGGCAAGATTATGGTTTTGGTCCCACCCCTTATCACTAATTTCAGAGTATTCTGAAATAAACTTAATAAGAAATAAGTACTCAATAGTATAGATTATAAACAGAAATAATAATGGTGAAGATATGGTTTGATTTTCATAATTGACAAGTCTACAGTAGTATAATTATAATAATAATAAAAATAATAATACATGTACAGAAAAAAAAAATAAAAATAAAAAAATAAATTTGATATTAAATATAAGACAGACATTTTAAGGGGGTGGCAGGTATTAACCATAGTCCTTTTAACTTATTAATAGGAAATGTGAAACATAGTCGATTTCTCTTTAAAAAATAAAAAAAATAACCCGATAATATGCACTAAATAGTAATAATTGACAAACATGAGATACGGTAGTTCGTTAAGCAGCACAATGTCACTCTGCCAACTCTGCATTCGCTATTCCTTTGGGCAATGATGAAAAACATAGTCTGAGTAAGTACGGAAACTTGGACGATTCACATTTTATCGGCCAATGGTTGACAACCATCACAACTTCTACAGCAATAGCCATTTCTGTAAACTCAATGAGCCCAGATGAACTACGTGCTTCAGTACCTTTAGGAGGAAACATTTTAATAACCATTTGGAGGTCAACATCTTTTAATGCTTTGCTTATTGTCTGGGATAAATCATCTTCTGATATGTTTGGTGGGGCATTAAAAAAATGCAACACACTGGATGGGTTTTGACGCCGGTTTTTTCCATTTGAATTTGAATGGAATCTATAAATAAAATTTATATAAATTAGTTCCAAAATAATAATTTATACTTGAATAAAATGTTTTTAAAATATTTATAATAAAGTAATAAAAGTTCTTATTAAAATTGAAGAACATTAGGAGAAAATAAGATTAATAAAATATTACAATTCATAACTTAATTGAAGTTAATGAATTAAATAAAATTTCATTCAAATGGCTTTTAGTTTTCGAAATAGGTATTTAGACTTAATTATATTAATTAATCTACACCCTCGACATTATGATTTGATAAACCAATAATACCTATTATTTTTTGAATTGGAATAATCTTTGAATGACGGAGTGCCATCAGGTAGATCATAAGGTACCATAATGTCGGATAAAAACATTTGTTTCGACACTTGCAGTTGCAACACATTACAGTTGATGAGTGTCAGCTTATTCAAATTGTCCATACATCGGTCAACTGACATTTCATTATCCATTTGTACCATTGCACAACCTTCCTTACTTTTAAGAAATTTCACTTTGACTACATTTCCGTACAAACAAAACAAATTAAAAAGACGATTACAATTTGCCTTTTCTGGATCTAAACCGTAGACCATTAATACACAACGTCCAGGAGTTGCTGGATAGCTTTCACCGTAATTGTTATTAGGTAAATCATGGGGTGTGGATAACAGTCCACCCCGGCATTCAAAATCGAATCGAGGGAATGTAGGCCGAGTAGAAATAAGTGGAGCTCTCGGAGGGTCCGGTAACAAAGGTGCAGTTTTTTTCTCATTAGGGTTTGGTGTAGTGTAATCCCATGTTTCAGAGTCATTTTTGTAGACATTCAACTTGGAAGGTTTGGCATACTCGACTCTCAGTGTACAGCATCCTTGGTATATATCAGCACCGTCCATCAGTTGTTTGGCTCGGACGGCTTGGTCCACTTCTTCATATTCCACCATGGCCTGTACGCCGCGTTTCCTAAATATGACTATGCGCAGCACGTTACCATGGTCTTTGGATATGGTGTGGATGACATCAGTGTTGATGGGATACGTCACTTTAGTAATGGTCAATAGCAGTATGTGATTGGGTTGAGTTTCGGCGCTTTTGCGACGACCATCCTCGTACGAGGACACGGAACTGTTGGTGCGCGACTCTCGATCGTAGTCGGTCCTCAGCCGTTTGTTGGTCTGATCGTTTTTTAAACTATTGTAACCATAATGATTGTATGCCGCCATCATTATTTGCTGTTTGAATTGGAAGAGTATTTCCAACGATTGTACGGTTCGGTTTTTCCGTCACGTGAAAACAATCGGAAAAACTTCGGAACGAAACAACAATAGACACCACCGGAGAGGTTTCGACACGGAGAGTGATGGAGAGAAAGAGAGAGAAATAGAGACGGAGAAATAAACAATAACAAGAGACACTGCGCTAAACGGCGGTTATAGGCGATTAGATGACTACATGGTGCACGGGGCAGCCGTCGCACGATTCGCGCGTACCATTGCCGAGAAGCCGTGTGCGTTAGGAGTTGGTTTACACCGAGACGGACGTACGGCAATAAGGCGGTCGACGGACAGCCATTTAATACGAGTTCGTTTTTGGTGGCGGACGGTGCGGGCGAAGAAATCGAAAAAAAACCGTCGGCACAAGCCTAACCGCTGCGGAAGGTACACAAATCGCACTATCATGAAACTGACGCCATTTTGTCTCCCGATATCTCTCGGCGGGTTGCGGGCACACGCACACACGTAGACGCACGCGAAAACAAGAGAGCGCGCGCGCGCGCGCACTCGCAAACACACACACGCACGCACGGGGACACACGCGCGCACAGTACGACTGTCGAATCGAACGCGACGGGTTGGAAGTTTGGAACGTATCGCGACGACGACGAGCGGTGCACTGCCTGACCGGGCGGTATCACGCGCGGTGGACAGCGGTTGCGGTGGTGACGTTCGAGCGCGGACTGATCGGTTTCGTAAACAACGACGACGACGACGACGACGCGATAACCCGAACGTGTGCGTTGTGCGTGCGTGCGACCGCCTAATCGTGTACGCGCGCGCTACGGTAGTACAACAATAATAATAATAATAATAATAGTAATACACGTCTCGCGGCTTCCAGTGGGTGGGAAAGTCGTTGTCGAGCGGGCGGTCGCTACGCGAACCCGGTCGTTTGCGAACCACTCGGCAGCCAGCTGATAATCGCGGGCCGTTTAGTGACGGACGCGCGCCGACACTTTTGCACGGGATGACCGTTCCGAACAAAGGGCTTTAATTGTGTTGTCGCGATTCGCCGCGAAGTCCCTGCCGACCGGTACGGCGGAGCGGCCCCGTGACACGCCGAATTCTTTGGACGCGAGCCATTTGCGGCAGCGGCCAGCTCGCACGCGGTCCAGCCGACGGAGACGGCGGCATAGGTGAAGCGCGAACGGAACGCGCACCGGTCGTCGTCGTTTTACCCAAAGCCCCTTCCCCCTTTCCACCCACAGGATAGACGACTGTTGGGCGATGGAGAAGAGATGACCGCGCGTTTATTTATAGCGCTATAATAATACAGTATTACAGCGTGCGCGGATGTGTACAGCGTATAAAACACGGGCGTAATATTTTATCGTTACACGTGCGATAAACCTGTGTTTATGACAAACGTGTTCGTCCCGTCCCGGGGGAAGCGCCGAGATTTAGGGACGGCGCGAAATCCTCGACCGGATATCCCCGGATGGTGTACAGGATAAACAGCGCTAAACGTGCGATTGGTGGGGGGGGGCGCAAGGGAGCTCGGTGCCTTACCTGCCACTCGTAGCGCTTGAAAATCGTACGCTTTAGCGTTCACCGAGAGTTCGTTGAAACGGTCAAAATAATCGCCTACGTAAATAATTATTTTATGAGTTTGTTAGGAAAAAACACGGTTTTCCGAAACGTTCCTTTTTTTTTTTACACGATTATCAATGATTATGTCTCCGATCCTTAGAACAGTGTTTTGCAAACAATTACAAACTCGAATCAATTATTATTATTGATAAATGGTTAGTGGTTTTACGGAACGGTGCACGGAATGCTGAAATAGGTAAACAGGGATTATTAGCCCCTCGCGCGTTATTTTTTTCCGCCACTTCAAACCCCACGAACAAAAGAAAAGAACCCGCACGTAGAGCTAAACAAATTGGGAGGGAAAAAAACTGTTGGAGAGGGTCAGGTGATTGATATTTTCAATAGTTAAGCACTTACGCGGCATTAATCTAATCATGTAATACCTGCCAAATGGTCGTGGTACTGTAAATCGCGTACCGTCACAATCCCCCAGGGGAACCTTGGACTCTGTCGGCGGGAGCGAGCCGACCGCTCCATCGTTTCCCTGATGTCACGATATTTTTTTTCATCGCCAAACTAAATTATGGTTCTATCATTGGAACGACGAGAAAAAAAAATAGAAAAAAAATAGAAACCATCGCGCGTTTTATGATTTATGAACGAGCGTCAGATAACCCTACTAGTAGGCTGTCGGTGGATAACCCCCGGGTCGGTGACAATTAGGATTTTTTTATTCTCCAAGATTACAAGTTCCTTTGAATCATTTCAGTGTAAAGTGTTGTATACTTTTATAATGATAATTGTACAATGCCGACTACACTCGCGTTACACATAATAGCTGTATAATTTATACGGAGTATTATCTCTTACCGAACAACGATAACGTTATTCGTAATATTCCCGACTGAAACGAGAACACGTGGTGGTGTTCGAGGAGAGTGATAAGGATGATAAAACACTTTCCGGAACTTTTTTCATATCACCTATTGCGTAATGTATTTTTTTATACCTTATAATATCTTCGAACTCAGTCGGGAAAAAATAAAATGAGTGTTACAGGGCTGATTTTTTTTTTTTTTACGAGGAAAAGTGTTTTGCTTCTTGCGATAAATTGGTATTTCATGCTACTACCAAGGAAAACCCTTCCTAAGTACGCCGTTATATCGGAGGATTAAGTAACAAAAAAAAAAAAATGCGCCGCTTTTCGAGGTGATTTTAATCTGTCTGTCGCCCGAAGGGTTACACGTCGTCTGCGTTAAACATTATTGCTGCCGTTAATCGTTATAAAGCTGACATTTAATAATAAAGAGGATACGGCTCGCTTTTTTCTCTAGTAGATACCTACCATCGATTTTGGACAACGATGAAGTATACCGCGTCAGCACACAGGTCTGTTTATCGCAAGGAAACGCGTAATTTATAAGATCCTTTCCTGATGTCTGTCACAATACACACGTTTTTACGTTTATTTTGTGTTCGTACTCCGTAGAATATATTGTGAACATATTATTAAGTGTGATGACGACAAATCATCCCAAAAATGTGTATTTTATTGAATTTGTTTTTATAGTCCTATACATTTTTTAATTTCTGAACAAAAGTTTAAAATACCTAATAACCTTGCGTCCTCGTGTCAGTTTGCCCATCCATCAGTGACTGCAGTAAATGCATATGCTTACGATTGTTCATATTAAACTATATTCATACTGACCAGTATTAAAAAAAAAAAAAAAAAATCAAAACATGAGTATTTCATAGGCTTTGTACAGATTCATACTAATCAATAATAGAAATAGGCTCCGAAGTATTAATAATTTATTTGCAAATCAGGATGTTTAATTTATTTATGGTACTACTTATAAGTATACACATATGAGTTACTAAATTATTTTTGAATTGTAATTTGAAACTATAGTTTATTGTTTAATATACTTATAGAAACTGACAGTCAGAGAAGGTCGCTGGGTGTGATTTCCTGACTAGTTTGAATAGTTTTTCATAATTTATAAATAAAACACATTCTTACATTTGATTTTGAAGTATTTACGACTTTGTAAACGTGTTACATCTTGTTCCCAGTATGAAAACGTAGTTGTTGTGAACCTACGTTTACGGCGAAGTAGTATTAGTTATATCGTTTTACTATGTTTTTAGGTATCACGTGTTGAGATAAATGGATGTTTCGCACAAGTATACTTATTATTTACCATTTATGGTTATTTACCGCTTACGCACATAAATACTTTTGATCGTGAACATTGAATAAAATTTGTTTGCACTGTATGCCGCAGGGTGTGTACGATTTAAACCTATGCGGTTATGTGCCGAAATCTAAATGCGTCCTAATGAACGGCGACAAATCGAAATTAAACCTACGGAAAAAACTTTACGTTTCTGATTTGTGCGCAAAAAGCGCCACCAGAAACCTTGTTTACGAGTGTGTCATTGGCATACAATGATTTCTGGCTGAACACTTATAGCAACGATTTTCAGTCGAGAAAAAAGCGGCATTATACTGATCCTACGGCCTCATTAAAACGTGTTAGATAGTCGTTTCGAAAAGTTTACGTGACTTTTAACGTAGTTCGTTCAATTTAAAATTACGAAATTCTCATTAACGTATGTCGTAAGATACAACGCGCATATTTTATTATGGACATACGTGTGCGATAGATACCTATCTAAAACTTTGTTAAACGATGGGTTTATATGTAATTTTAAAACCACAAAAACACGAGTGTTAACATTTTTGGGTTCGTTCCAAGTGTGCTTCGTAATTTGTTCTTTATCCAATATCATTAAAACACCATAATTGATATTTCAAAGTCCCACGTGGTCAGCGGTAGTAAAGTAAACATTAAATCATGTTCATCGCCACATGTTAGCGTTATATTTTAATTTTTTTTTCTTACGGGCTTTTAACGTTTAAGTGAAATTTCAAATCCAACCGGTGATTAAGGTCAGCTCTTGACAAATGTACACTCGACAGAGAACGTAAAATACGCGCGTGCCTCTCCTCGATTACATATTTTAAAATACGTAACCATTTTAAATATTAATATCTATTACACTTAGATAGTTAAAATGCTGTGATCATTGTTTTTTTTTTTATTTATATCAGAACTAAAAATAAATACCGCTACGGTAATTGCAAAAGCGATTTTATTAATATAAATACGATCTAATATCTCATTCCACTCAACGAGCCCAGTGGCTAGTTTAAAAATAAAGGTGACTGAAGTAAGTATAATTTGTTGATTTTATTACTAAAAATTATGTAATATTTCAATCTAAATTCTTTTTTCCTAATGCCATAAGCCTATAATATTGTCGTCAATATTTTACATTAGCTTTTATTGTATATTTTATATGATTTCACATGTTCCTAAATATTTATTTGATGAACTATTAATACAATTTCTTATTGGCCTTCCTTCTTTAATCATACAGAAGGGATTTTATTCGTAGACAAAGAAAGGTCAATGGATCGTTAAAACATAGATTCATTATGTTCAAAAATATACCCAAGTCTTACAGTCTAAATTGCACATTGTAATCAAAAAAAGTTTTGTTAGAGATTTGATCTATAAATATAATATCAACGTACAAACAAATCATTTATTTTATACAACTACATTACGAACGAAGTAGCAATGAATACGTCTATTTTATATTTTTAATTAATGGCGGGTGCTACTTCAAATTTTTCTTTACAGATCGTGAGAGTGCAGTAATGCTTTGATAAAACATTTTAACATTGAACAGTTTTTGATAGATGAAATACTAATCCATATTTTTATTTTTTTTTCACTTCGTATTGATTGAATTTCAATTTAAGTTACATTTAATCAATGGAATGTTTTAAATTATTTTCAGTTCGCTTTAATCAGCGATAAAATTCGTTAGCCACATGGCTTGGTTTGTGTTTTTCCACATGGTTTTTGTAGGAAAAATACTTATTTTGTGCTTTTAATACATACCGTCTACACTCGGTAAGCTAAATGCTAATTGAAATGGCTAAATTACAAATTGCCCTAGTGGTTAATTTTTTACACAAATTATTCAACTTAGCCGCTGTTTCATTTGAGCTTATTATCGCAGTCGGTACACTTTCCTATCTAATAAACAATGAGTAGTAATTAAAATCTCGCACCTTCAAATGTCAAAATTGT